TGAAGGCACGAGTTTTATTGTGGGTTATTTTACTTACTCTAAAAATAAAAAAGTTTAGAATGGTATTCATTGTTATGGTAGGGACATCGTCTAAACACAAATTAAAATCACTTGCACTCATTATATAAGGATCTACGCCGTTTAAATTGTTTAATTTTTGTACATATCTGTTTTTCTCTTTGACGGAAAGACATCGTGCATAATCACTTAAATTATCCATACTTTAAAAGCAAATCACACACCTTCACTTAAACCCGTCACTTTAACCTCAAACGAAAATATTAATTTCCGATTTACCGCTTAAAACACACGGATGTATTTTGGGTGACGAGGAATTCAGACCAAAACAGCGTTCTGTATTTTTATTTTTATTATGTATTTTTAAGCTCAAATCGCCAAAAAAAGCACCCTGATACACAGAAAAGATATGAAAGAAGCTATTCACGTGTTTATTTTCTAGATAAATACCCACACTTTTAAATAAAATGCGAAAATGTTAATATTGTCACTTATGGAGTTTTACGGCGCTTGTCAAACGCTGAGTTCCCGCCACAGCGTGACGTCACGTGTTATTGGCTAGAGCAGCTTTCAAGACAAAAGGGTACAGGTGGTGGGAGTGCGCAGAACATTGTTTTGGTTTGGCCTTACAAATACCGTGCAAGCAGTGGCAGCGGCGATGAATATTTCGATTTTAAATATTAAAATATTATTGGGGTTAATAAAAATATCACTTTTCTATTTTATTAGCGTTGACATTATAGAAAAAGATTTTAAACAATTATTAGTGCTATATTTGATGTATGAGTTGAATAAAAAAGTAAGTAAAAGAAGTAAAAAGGTAATTTTTAGTGAGCAATAAGAACTGTTAAATTAGGGTACAGTCGAAGCTCTAGTTATAAACGACAATTATGCTAGAATATGAACTGTGATTATTACTTCGATGTTAAAGACAGAAAACGTTAAGCCTTATTACAATCCGACTTTACGGTATCGATAAATTGTGCCAGAAAATAAAAAAACATATAATTATAGTCATAGGTTGCTTATTCTCAGAGTTTTAAGCCAACTTTTATCTAAAGATTTAACTGTTGATTTAAGACTAGTCGACTATAAAATAGTATACGATACTGGTTTATAATGAGGGGTTCGTGAAATTTTTTACTCATGCTATAATCCCTCACATTATAAACTCGTATAATAATTAAAAATACCAAATTTTGTGTGATAGATTATCATAATTTATTGTTACGTAAGTCTATTTTTTTAACAAACAAATTAATTTATTTTTATTAAATGGTTGTCTGTATTCTTTTGTAGAAATTACTCTTTTTTTAATTGTTTTTGAAAGAAGTACAACTCAGCCGAGCCTCCCTTCTCAATGCATCGATGTTACGCCACTGATGGCCCGGCTACAAGTCGCGCAACTTAAGCCCCGCCCCTGTACCCTTTCGTGCTGAAAGCCGCTCTAATAATAGAATATGGTGGTCATAGGAGGCTTAGGCGCGCTTACGAACGTATCGCCATCTGTGAAATACTATTACGCACTAACATCTATCTTTATGAATGAAATTTTTCACTACTGCAGTGCCAAATTGACAACTGACAGGCTCTCAAAACTGTCATTCTACTTCTACAGTAGCGGTCATTTCTACGGAACCACTCGATAAAAAGTCAAGTTGGTAGCCCTGTCATCCAGTACTTTACGCGGGACGCGGTTGGTAGCGGTAGTTGATATGGCAATCGAAACTAGCACAACACTAATGTTTTGGTTGCCCTCAAATGTGCCGCACTGTATCCTGTGCAGACTGTATGTTCTGTTCATCTATTTATTAAAATAAAATATCTACATTAACAATGGGGCCATCTAACCTGTCAGATTTTTGACACATATGTTTTCCCCCAGAAACCCGTCAAGGTCACTTACACCAAACAAATTTTGAAAATTTACACTAGGGAGTGGTTCTATAGAAAAGATCGCGACTTTAGTTGATGTATTATGAACTTATTGATAGAAATTACTGTTTAAATTGGTTTAACGAGATCGCCAATTCAGAGAGGAACGTACATTTACATAACAAACCTCGGAAACCGCAGGTTTGTTTCATATTTCCACCACTATTGTTTCATGTAAACATTCATTTAAACAATAATGTGCGATGACCAGGTAAACACAGATTCCTTCGAAAAACAAGTACTATTTAAGAACTTTTCGGTAATTGATTACATTAGCCACTGCGATTTTGTCGAATACGTTCCTAACCTTCAAATCTACAAATATTTCTCATAACATTTGAAGAGTAAGAACGTGATCAGGGCAGGGGTGTCATACGAGAGTTTTGTAAAAACGGTTTCAGAGAAATCGCATAGTGACTTGTGTAAACAATGATTGAAGACGGTTCCAAAATATTGAACGTTTAACATAATAGTATATTAAAGAACGAGTTTCATAAGGCAAATATTGAGGCACGAATCCAAGTTTATAGAACGAGCGGCGAAGCCGCGAGTTATATAAAGGATGAGTGCCTCAATGGCTTTATGAACGAGTTATTTATACTATTTTTTCTACCGCACACGTTTTTTCCCAAAATTTACTTGAAATTTGCATTTTTTTTTAATCTGGGGACTTTTGTCGTGGTTGGTGATGAGTTGGTCTAACACTAACCACGAAATATTTGAGGTTCGAATTTTCACAACAACAACTGTAATTCGAATCAATTCGAGTTTTTCTAATTTAAAATTGGTTAAAATGTCTTGTGAAGAAGTTACGCGTCCGGAAATATGGGAAATTTTAAGTTTACATTTGCCACTGACATTCACCTGACATTTCTCGTCGTGGTTGCCAATCTTACCGATCTAAATTACACCAGATCTATTAAAGAACGCCTTTCCGCTATTAACGAACTGCTGTGACGTCATTTGCGTGCGTTAATAGCTCTATTAGAAAACCAAAAAACGTGGGCGGTAGAAAAAAATTATTATTAAATGTCAAAGTTGTCATTTATGTCGGTATAATCGTGTCCTTTTGATGTGGCAAAAATTAGTGCCTCTAAATTCTGTAAGAGGGACCTCTTTGAAAAAGCGCGTCGTGGCCAACTGGTGCGGAAAGAAATTATTCCACCTACCGGAACGTGAATGAATGAAAGATTCTCAACCTATCTATTCTACAGTCGTGCTCTCACCGTACGCAGTATACACGATTTTTCTTATAATTAGTGCGTTAATGTACCATTTTACTAAACAGAGATGTCACTACTTTTTACTACACTCATATCACATTTCAACTCATAATATCACTGCTATAGGTATATCGAATTAATTTATATGTAAATGTAATCAATTTGTGTATTAAATAAAAAAATATTGTAAATATTTTAGTTTTTGAAGTAGAATAATAGTTATTTAACCAACTACACTGACCGGCAAAAAAAACGGCCACCCTGAAAAATTTCGAGTGAGCCATTCCATCAATTTTTTGGGGGGAATAAATAAATATTCTTAACAATTTACCATGCTTACAATAACTTTAAAACGTCTGCAAGATCTCAAAGTATTCATTTTTGCAACTCTTGAGTTTTTCACTAAAATAAATTGACTGATCCATATATTTTTTTGAGTCACTGTAAAAGCAAATCTACAAAATATGAATGCAATGATAAATTACGAAAATATACTGATGATATTTTCCACATTTTAGATAGGATTTATTCGGCAAAATCTTGAGATGACGTGTTCACGTTTTTGGGCTTGACAAACAGATATATTTTGATTGAAAATCTACCATGTCAAACAGTAACTTCAAAACGTCTGCAATATTTCAAAATTCAGTTTTGCAATTCTTGATTCAATCAATAAAATAAATTGACTCAGTGATTAATTTTTTTGAGACACCCCCTATAAGCAAAACTAAAAAATATGAATGGAATAATAAATCACAAGTATAGTGTCATCCTATTTTGGACATTTTAGATAGGACAAAATTTATTATGCTTATCATATGTTTAAAACATCTGCAAGATTTCAAAGCATTCGATTTTGCAGATTCAAAATTAAATTGTAGGTGAAACGAAGTTCACGGGGTCAGCTAGTTTTCAATAAAAAGCTATACATTATTTTTTATGTGTATGATATGCAATAAAATATCTGCTTCTAATCCCCTGTGACAGGCGTGACATCGATTTTAACCTCGAGTACTTTGGCCACAAACTACTTTATCAGTCCCGTTTCCGCAATTTCGGGAAAATAAGCCAAAAAAACGGACACTGAGTAATGCACTGTGTTTTTTTTTGTTCGCACCAAGCTACAAAATGCTTTGTATGTTTTCTCATATAGAGGTCTGATTTTTTCACGAAGCAAATTCGCAGTTGCGTTATTTGCGGTTTCCAGAATTTCTGGAAAAGTTAAAGTGAGCTCTTTACGAGACAATTTGCTTAAAAGAAAGGTCTGTTTATTCCACTGAATTTGAAATTTAAGGTGAGTGTCAAAATCAAAATATCAAGACATGTGCAGGGATTTTACGAGATTTGTTATGCAACGGTGAAAAGATTTGTTATGCAACGGTGAAATTTTACAAAGAGCACTTCACGATTTCGCACAAACTGTTCTACATCACCCCCTGAATACGTTTCTTCCATTCAAAAGTTGTGGAAATGCTCCCTTGTGTCAGAAAAAAATATTTAGTGTTCGCCCTATGGTTTGCTGCACCCTATTAGTTGCGCCACATGTAGGCAACAAACTACACAAACAGTTGAACTCGCACGAATTTCAATAACTAAATGATCCACGGAACAAGAAGTGCCACGTTTAGGGGTATGTTTGTCATGGGGTGCAGGGTGCACCAAAAACCCGACATTACGCTTACGCGTGTTGTTGACTATAAAAAGTGAGGTTATGTTGGAAACGGCGTCCTTTGCATGGGGTCTAAAATTTAACATGAGAACCACTTTTAAACAAGATGCGCAGTGTACAAATTTGTGCAAAGGACACCCCGCTCTAGACATTACCTGTTTCAATAGTTGTGGAGGTCACAATCAGAGTTCAGTGAATTACGTTTCAGGAATGGTACAACACACATTACTTGCAAACTAGCGTGTTACTTGTACGTTGAATGTTGAATTCCACGCCCTTCGAAAGTCAATTGTTACCACCGCAAACGCTAAGACGCTAACCACCACTAATGCCAAACTGCTACACCATGACACCATGACCGACCATCCTCTCCCTCCCCCTGGCTGACAGAGTGACAGCTGAAGCTGACTAACAGGCGAGTTGATGACGCTCTGCGTTGCCAACCTAAGAATAGGAAAATTGAAACATTGTATCCAGAGCCCAAAATTGCCAAAATTATTGTCAGGTCAGGGCCATGTCAGGGCCACGGTGGTACAAGTAAGGTGTGGAAACCTCATTCATAACTTTCCTCAAAATCATTGGTAAAAAACACAAATCGCGTGGTTTGGATTACATGTCATTAGCTGTCTAAAGCACAGTAGATCAGTAACGAAACTTCAGCAATATTTGCGGAACGGGTGTGACCTTGGGAGCCCGTTCCCGGGAAACACGAAGATTCAAATATTTCGTAGCATTCGTATGTGATTCATATAATAGTAATAATTGTACACAAAAATAAAAATGGGTGGCATGTACATATTCAAGCAAAACATTTTTATTCAATTTTGACGTTTTAAACTGCGTATATTAAATCCTTAACAAATCCGACAAATAAGTTGTTATCCACAAGTGAATTGCAAAATTTTTATTTCACTCTTAATATTTTTAAATCACTCACAAAAAAATAAAAAACAACTTCAGGAACATAAACATTTTGCTTATTATTTTTAATAGTTTTCACAGAATACAATTTGTTTACAATTTTCACTAAAAGGTTGCTGCAACTAAATCAGTATTGTTTGATATATTTGTTTGTCTCTGTGAGACGTCAATTTGAGAATTGTATAAATCCCACACCAATTGACCAGTAAAGTGAATGACGCGCGAAATTTGAACTCAGTTCATAACACGAGAGCCGTATTTCAGTTCCCCGTGTAATCCTTATGGGTGAAATCGAGGCGTCATTTTAACGCTTAAATTGTACCATTAAAGTAATTTTCTTATATATCCCACTACCTGTACCATTAAGACTGATATTTTTACTGTTGATCTTGATACCCAACATGAACGGAACCGGTGGTATTTAATAAATATTTAAATTCAACTTTTACCACTACATTTGCCTCGAACGTATGTCGTACAGTGGTTCATACTGCCATTGACTTCCCCCTCCACATAAATGGCTTTGATTTTCAGATGCTATAGATAAGGCTGTGAATTTAAAATAATACATAAAGGGGATCTCATATTTGCAAATGTTTTCAATCAATTGCCAAATTATGACTTAAGAATCATCATCAATCCCAAGCTTTTTTCTTTTCACACATTTTTGCTAGAAAAGGAAAAACTTAGCATTCCTGATTAAACCTTTCATGTACAAGTAAAAATCACTTTCATTTTAGTACGAATTGGGTGTGAAACACCATTTAAAAAAAAATCACAATTTAAAGAACAATTTATTTCAAAACAAAAAAAATATTCTACAATAAAAAATTGCACTTCCTAATGCAAAATAATCTGATTCACTTTTGGTGAAAAACTGACCGACAAACTGTTATCTTGATGGGCCATTTACCCATTTAAATAGTCCTCGGACACTAATAGTTCTTCGACACTGTGAAGTAGGTTTTCTTCAGATCTTTCTGGTTCAGAGGCCCAATAGCCAAAGCAGTGCTTTGCTCCCATCAGTTTATCGTAAGCTTTCATGAAGTTGTACCTCAACATTAGCTGTTTTTAGGCTGACTTGGGGATTAAAAGAATTTTCAGAGACAACAGCTCTGACTTCAGCGGATTCACTTTTCTCCAGATGTACGTCCCAAGCACACAAATTATTGGTCCAAAATACATTATAACGTCCGTGTAGGGCAGGTGTAGCCATATGGTGACATACAAATGCACCTCTTGGGGTTTCACATGTTGCCTCTCTTAAGGAATATCTATGCATAATAAAACAAAGTACGTCATAATTTTACTTGATACAGAATTTATCAATATACATTAACTTACCATAATCTTCTCGCATTATAGCTCGAATAAACTCTTCAAGCACATTTAATTCAGTATACCAATTGACTTTCACTACATTATTTGACTGTAAAGAATTTTCTCCAACAAAAAAAAATGGCAATTGCCCCTATTGTTAACACATGTCTTTCTGTCATTCTGTCAGTCCACAGATACATACAACCAAATGTGAATCAATATCACAGAACTAATATATCATCATCATCCAAAAATTGTGATTATGATTGTTTGTTGTGATGAAAATACGAAATCAACTGTCATATTTTGGGGATTTTCACGATCCAAACGTCACTAGCCCCGCAAAATATTCGCGTTCCTTTTCTGTTCGGCGTGTTTCTGGATTTTCCGTTTCACTCATGCGCAAGGAATTAGAAACGATGTACGTTACTTTGATGAACAACGTTGTTTTTAATTTGCGATATTTCTTTAACACAAGCTTTTTATATAGTTAAACCTTTAGTAACAGGAAGATAATTGTATAGTCTTTATCGCTTGTAGCATGAACTAGTTAAGATTTCTACCTGTGCGGTGTATTTTGTCTGTAAAATCAAGCTCCCATAAGAAACCCATAGTAGAATTTTTGAATTATGAACTGCCGCGCATTCTAAATTCTAACCTTACTTTACTGGTCAATACAATTCCAAAGTGTGTTTCGGAAACTATTTACTACAGATTATTTCGATACGAGTGCAAGAACCAACTGTGAAACACTATTTTATTTGAAATGAAAAATTTGCAAAGGTGTTCTTTTAAACAAACTTCCACAACACATCTCCCCTGTATTCCACCCTCTTCAACAATCATTAAGTGATGTGAGTTACCGGAAACTCACCTTGAAAGAACACAACTGTTTATGGTATGTTTGTGGATACTCATTAATACGAAAATTCTTACACCACCACTTCTGCGAAGTTTGTTGTGAACTTTGCACATTCTTACGAAGTGGTACATCCTGTTTTAAGTGTGTGACATTTTAAAGTCTTCAATGAAGATGTGATTTTTGGCGATTTAATAATACCACCTAAACATTTTGCAGTTTATACTCCGATGGGTAATACATTTTGTCAGTTTTCCCAATTTATGCACCGTAGTCGTTAACTGGTTTGCGGCTAAAAAACGAACCATACAAAAATACCATTCCACCACCCCTGCAAAGACTTTCCTCTTGATTACCTCGTTTCATTTTTTATTAGTTAGAATTTTTTACACACTAAAATTTAAAAATAAATCTTGGACGGCTCAAACACGCACACATCGAAAATTAAACTATTTCGTTTAACCTGCAGTTTGTTGACCTCTTTAGCCTGGAATTTTCTAGTATTTTTTACATGTATCGTAAGTATCTATTACTTTGTTAAAATAAATTTTACGTTTGTTTTTAACCCCATAACCCAACATCCCGTATGATTCCGTAATTAAAATGACATTTCTTGTTGACAAAACCAGACAAAACGTTCACCGAAAACCTTAAAATGAAAAAGAAACTATGTTCTTCAAGGTCGGAGCACCTTTAGTGACGCTAGTGACCTCTTTATGTCGCTCCGTAAGCTCCCCATGTATTTCTTATGGAATCAGCTGAGACTTTCATAGCCCTGCTAGTACATGCCAACCATTTTTATTTTTGTGTACAGTTATTAGTATTATATGAATCACATACGAATGCTACGAAATATTTGAATCTTCGTGTTTCCCGGGAACGGGCTCCCAAGGTCACACCCGTTCCGCAAATATTGCTGAAGTTTCGTTACTGACCACAGACTACCCCCTCCAGACTGCCAAGTCCCGTGTAAAAATTTAAACTAGTAGAAGGTAACAAATATAGAGGGTCAGACGAAAGATAGTAGGGGAAACTGTGGGAAATTTGAAATTTTGTTGAGTAGGCGCCTTTGGCGGGAGATTCAAAGTCATTCTCAAAATATTGTAAAAACATATTTTGTATATCATAACTTCGTAATTAAATTATTTTACTAACGTATAATGCAATATTATTATAAGTTAATAAAATAATTTAATTAAGAAGTTATGATGATACAAAATATGTTTTTACTACTTAAAAAAAAGTAATAAAAACACACGTAATTTTTGTCATTAGTAAATTTAATAGCAAACATATAATGGTATCTAACAGCAGTGGTATTGTTGATATAATTATTATACAATAGCTTAACAATATGATTAAAATGAGATGACATACAAATTATTATAAATAAGGAATCTTCTAATTCTCTTGCTTTATATTAAATAAAAATTATTGAAACTGCGAGGATATCACAATAATTTTTATTTAATAATAAAACAGAAACTAGAAATCAAAATCTTTGTTTAAGTATGGATCTCAATTTCTTTTCGCGTGGAGTACACCTTTTCCACGAGAAATTGAGATTACATTTCTTAAACAAAGATCTACTAATCGATGGTGCTTTGGACTCGTTAGTAGACAAAATAGTCGCATTTTGACGAAAATTAATAGAAGAACAAGAAGAAGTAGGCGTTTCATGCAAAGAAGTGAGCATAGAAGTATCATACATCAGAGAAGCACTTCCTTTTGATGTCGATGGAACAGGATGAGTGGAGGGAACTTTAATTGGTGTTGAAAAATGTATGTCTTCATCTGTAACCTGAAACAAAGATCAATTAATAATTATTGCATACAAAGACATTATAAGTTTGTACCATTAACGGTTCGACCGGAGGAACTGGGGGTGTCACAGTTGGTGGCTGCAGCACATTCTCTTCAATGATCTAAAAAACATGAATATTTAATACAAAAAACAAAACGAAGCAAATTTCATACAATAGTTATTTCCTTTTCTTTAATAATTAGTACCTCAGTCTCGGAAGTTTGGATGTATTGCGAAGGTACTGCATTTCGATTTAAAGTTGCTGACCAATTGTTAGCGTAAAAATTTGCGGAAAAGTATTCACTGCAAATTCTCCAGTGTGCTTTCACTTTTTTTCTATATTCTCAATTTTTCGTGCTTCTCCCCATTCACGTAATCTAAAAATTAAAATGATTTTGCATTTGTAGCGGAGCTTTCAAAGCGCTCCGCTAGTACCCTTTCGAGGGCGCTGTCCTCGGCAGCGCCGATATCAACCCCACCAAGCTCACCCCCACTGGAACGCACCCCACCTGAAGTTACTTCATTGTGCAGGTAGGGGCAAGTGGTACATAGTGGCACGCGGTACATAGTGAGATTTCCTGTATAACACAAAATTTAATTGAAGCAGTGCAACTAGAATTTTAAAATTCAGTTCTACAACATCCTAGTAAACGTGGGTGATAACGCAGTGGTTGCCATTTAAAAGTATTTCTGTGATACACCAACTGATTTCGGTAAGAACTGTTCTGTGTGTGGTTACGAGAAACATGTTGATGGGCGTATTTTTGTTCAATATACATGAAATTCTTGCAATTTCTCGCCATAACCTCAAAAACATGAATCTAAGCTAGTGCATGTGTTGCAATTCATAAGAACCCTATCACTTTAATAAAATCGTACATGATTTTCATTTATGCATGACGGTATTTACTGGGACAGTCTGGTATATAGTGGGACAATTATACTTAACTTAAGCGTTGTATCATATATAACTCTGAAAAAAAAATGTTGGTAGGAGTCCAATATGCCCAAATATGCAAGGAGAAGTATGACAAAAAGGTTTCTCGAAAGTCAATTGCGTCTACGAGAAAGCAGAGAGAAAATACGTAATGCCGTCCATGAGGTTATTTCAAGAAATATGACTATACGAGAAGCAGCAGACCAGTATGAAGTTAGTAAATCCGCTCTTTCTTAGGAAAATTACGAAATATAAAAGTTTGGAAGATGAAGACAAGGAGAGATTTAATTTTTCCCGAGAACATGGTTTCAAATGCGTTTTTACTACGGAGGAAGAAACTCTTCTAAAACAATATTTGATTGAAGCTGCGCAAATGTGCTATGGTTTGACACTCAAATCAACTCGGGAATTGGCCTATAGATTTGCCATAGCAAATGGAAAAAATGTGCCACAATCACGGGAAAAAAATCAAACGGCTGGAGTGGAATGGGCTCACTGTTTTCAAAAACGAAATCCCGATCTTGCACTTCGTACTCCAGAGGCGACTAGTTTGAGTAGAGCGACTAGTTTCAATAAACATAATGTTGGGCAATTTTTTACCAATTTACGGGAAGTGTTGGACAAATTTAACTTTCAACCAACACAAATCTTCAGTTGTGATGAAACAGGTATTACAACTGTACACAGACCCCCTAAAATACTAGCATCATCTGCTCAACGACAAGTTGGGAAAGTTACTAGAAAGAATACAAGAAAAGGCAGAAAGAAAGCGCAGTCAACAATTTTAACTGATACGCCAGTTAAAAAGAAAATTGAAGAGGAACATCGAATGAGATTATTAAAACAAACGAAGAAGTTGCAACCTAATAAGGTAAAGAAGAAGGTATTTGAGGAAAGTTCAGATACTGAAGACGTGAATAAATAGGAGTTTGCGGATGATTCTACAGACATCGTCACCTTAGAACTGGTTTGCCGCATATCCAGATCGCGTCCGAGGGATTTTCGCCTCTACTGCTTGGTGCAGATTTGCCGCATGTCGCACTTGGGCGAAGCGAAACATAGTTTAGATTCAGTGCTGATTTGCCGCATGTCCAAGCAGAAATCGATACAGTACCGTTATCCGTTTTTACGTACTTCCTTGCTGTTTTGCTTTTCAGCGTTAGGTTTGGGGTTGGGAAAGAAATCGTATTCAACTTCACGCGCAGAACAATAAGAATAATGTGAAATAAATAAAAAAGAGACTTAACAATTTTGATGAATCTGAAATTAAAAAAAAGCAACTGTAATTTGTGCAACTCTTTTTCTGTTGTTATAGATGTTACAAATATTTTCAAATTATTAGATTCGAAATTTTACAAATTTAAATTTCAAATAGATTTGTTGTTCGATAAACAAATAATTTAATTTTTTACTAAACAGTAACATTTTATTAACGATATTTCTACATCAATAATCACAAATAATAGATACATTTTTAATTTTTTAAATTAAAATGTTGTAAAAGTAATATGAAAATTAAAATTTCCAAGCAAAATCTGTTTAGGTGGATTTTGCTTCGAAATTTATTACTGGAACGTTTACAAAAATCAGCTTTTGACATAAAATGCTTGCAAATTTGAAACAGAATTGGAATGTTTCTTGACAATCATGCCTAATACATTTTTGACTTGTATCTTTTAAAAAGAATTATTTCCGAATTTATAGCTATTTACAATTTACGACTTACTTCAAGAACAAATTCCGTATTAGAATTTTACCTATAATAACTAAATAGATGTATGTTGTTAACTTATATAAGGTACCTTACATCGAAACGAGTAATTTGTTTTTTAATATGACATTGCCTTTCTTTATCATTCTATTTGTCTAACAATTATTGTTGTGCAATTATACGCGTGTAAATAAAAATAACTTTACAATAACTTATTTATGGGTAAATTTTTTTACCAATTAATTTAACTGGATGGTTATATGTAATGGTAATAATAGCCGCATAAAATTCACTCACTGTTTAGGTATACCAGATATCAAAAGCTATTAAATCCAAATGTTATTGTTTATTTTTTTTTATGTCTCGAGCGTAAGCTAAGGAACTATTGTAATCAAGTTCATCGGGCGACTGGCTACTTTTATGGCTTCTCAACGTTTCATGACTCCTATAATACGAAAACATAGGTCTCTCGTTTCCAGTTGATAAAATGCTGACCAACATTTGTAATCATCCTCCCCATCATATAACGTCATCTCCAACTTTTACAGCAATAAATGTTATATGATTTTTAAAAATAACATACTTTTTCATTTGTTGTTTATTGAGTTTTTACCCTAAGCACCCAGATTGAATTAAATTACCATAACCCTAATTTCTTGAGATTTTGGAACCAGGATATACGACATAAAGAAAGTTAAAAGAATTTGAAGTAATGTAATGATACTCTTTTTACATCAACATACTATTATTTATCAATTAATTGAGCATCGTCCAAAATACTGTTCATAAATTATAAGTGCAGGAAGTTTATGCAAAAACATGCAAATACATTTTTTGCGTATAATAATATGTATTGCTTTATTATTAAGTATCTACTCATTTATAAGAATTATTAAAATTAGTAAAAAAAAGTATTCACGTCTCTGTCTAGTTTAATACCTTACCTTATTAAAATAATAAATTTAATCAATTATGTAGTTAGCAAACAATGACGTTTAATTTATACTTAGTAGGGTTCACGGCATGTTTAATTCGGAGTTATAATTTGAGAATATAATTTACCCGTTTATTTATTTTTATAGTTTAGTAGTACTTCAGCAAATTTAGAAAACTGTATGTTATTTAAAAATACGTGACAAATCACGAGGCCAAGCAATCTAGAGATCTGACTGCTGGTTTGCGCGGGAAATACTGCATACTTTTTAGATAAAAGGAGTCTATGATAAGCGCACGTAGGAGATGATAGACAGAGAGCTAATATTTAGAGCTAATGTATTGGAAAGAAATAGGACAAGTTTACGTGCGCACACCACAGCCTCCCTTTCTTCTCTAAACAGTTTGGGATCATACCATAGTATCATAAATAATAATTGACAAAGAGTTCGCAAAGGAATCCAACGGAAATATTTATACAATTGTTTACAACTACCAGTACAAATAATTCTTTCATTTTCAACTGAAAAGCGTATAACTATATTAAGTACTAGATATTATGGAGTTAGGGGTAATCAAATAGATTTGGGTTGCAGTCAACATAATTGTCACTGATACATAAGACATGGTAACGAATGATTTATTTCCAAATCCAAATATACTGCATTTACAGTTTTAAACAGTATCACTGCTAATTTTCTCTGGTTGCCCGACAATAGCTACTTGTAGTCAATATCCACGTAATCTAATAAAATACTGGAATCCAATTGTTTGAGACAACAACCTATTTTTACCCGAGTGTTCTTTATCAGTTTGAATATTTTATATAAAAAAAATTACATATTAAGCTGCAATTTTAGTAGGACTGCAGCGAGTCAACGAGCCGCCTTTACTCCGCCAATGCAAAGAAAATATCATTTTATTATCCTTTGTAAAAATAGTTCCTTTCTGTAAAACACATTTAAATTTGGTACTCCGTATTTCGTTCACAATTCACCATTTAACAATGGAAATTAACAATGCAATATTTGGATTCTACAGTTTTTAGGAAAAATGAATGACTGCAATGAGTTTTATCAAATGTAGATTTTATATAAAAATAAAGAAAAATAAGTCTCTTTATTTTAAAAATATTTAGAAAAAATCGAATCAAAACATCAATAACTTAACATTCATTGTTCGTTATACTACTTCACCACGAGATTTCTAATATCGTTTCAATTTTTCATTTATTTCACATTATGAGTCCTTGCCGTATTTCTTGTTCTGCGCGTGAAGTTGATTAAGAAATCTTAATCTTAATTATCTCTGAAAAATGTATCTATTATTATCTATAATTATTGATGTGGAAATATCATTTCCACAAATACGAATATAGGTATGCAGCATTATGAATTTTGTTGACTAAAATTTTAGAGAAAATAAGTTCAATCATTTCCGAGAAATCATTAAATAAAAATGTTACTGTTAAGTAAAAAATTAAATTATTTGTTTAACGAGCAACAAATCTATTTGAAATTTAAATTTGTAAAATTTCGAATCTAATAATTTGAAACTCAATCTTTCTTAAAAAAAAAATCGAAAATATTTGTAACATCTATAACAACAGAAAAAGAGTTGCACAAATTACAGTTGTTTTTTTTAAATTTCAGATTCATCAAAATTGTGAAGTCTCTTTTTTATTGATTTCACATTATTCTTATTGTTCTGCGCGTGAAGTTGAATACGATTTCTTTCCCAACCCCAAACCTAACGCTGAAAAGCAAAACAGCAAGGAAGTACGTAAAAACGGATAACGGTACTGTATCGATTTCTGCTTGGACATGCGGCAAATCAGCACTGAATCTAAACTATGTTTCGCTTCGCCCAAGTGCGACATGCGGCAAATCTGCACCAAGCAGTAGAGGCGAAAATCCCTCGGACGCGATTTGGATATGCGGCAAACCAGTTCTAAGGTGACGACATGGAGAGTTTTACAGAAGAAGAAGATTTCAATAACAATTTAGATGAAGTTTCGGTAGAAGATTACATTTTGGTTAAATATGCTAGAAAAAAGACTGTTCGGCACTACATTGGACAAGTAAAGGCAATACGAAATCAGGAGTTTGAAGTAAGATTTTTAAAAAAATTACTTGGTTCTAAATTTGTTTTCCCTGACAAAGATGACGAAGACTTCGTTGACAAGGAAAACATAATTCTAAAATTGCCCAAACCATTTGTGTCCGGTGCGACGCAGAGATCGATCCGACAACTTTCGTTCAATTTAGATCTTAATCAATACAACCTTTTGTAACTTATATGTTCTTTGTACATTACTAAAAATATATATTATTCTTATAAACTTTTTGTGTGAGTAGATTTGTTCATAATGAGTTGCGTTTGAATAGTCCCAGTATATACACTGTCGTTTCCCACTGTATACCACCCGGTGGTTTATTATGGGACAAATGGTACATAGTGATACAACTTTTTTTTTTACGTTAAAAAATTTGTTTTTTAAGTTTTGGGGGTTGATTACATTACCCGACACCGTTTACCTAACAGTAAAACAATATATGATTTGAAAAAATCTAAATTTGCCAAAATTATGAAGAAAAGTTTTTTTACGTCCCATCTCGTACCACTTGCCCCTACTCTCACGCATCTCAACCCTGCCTATAAAAGGGCAACTCGGACGCTTTCCAGGCAGATGGAACTCCACCATCTCCACCTTAAGGGCTGCACTGTCTCGGTCCCCTTCTGGTGATCACCAGGGCTGCACTGTGTTAGGGTCCCCTGCGCCGCTTCGAGATTATCACCAGGGCTGCACTGTTTACGGTCCCCTGCGCTGCTTCGAGATCTTCACCAGGGCTGCACTGTTTTACGGTCCCCTGCGCCGCTTCGAGATCATCACCAGGGCTGCACTGTTTTACGGTCCCCCTGCGCCGCTTCAACGACGTCATCTCCAGGGTCGCACTCTCTAGGTCCCCTGTGCCGCATCGCCGACGTCGTCATCTCCAGGGTCGCACTCTCTAGGTCCCCTGTGCCGTATCGCCGACGTCGTCATCTCCAGGGTCGCACTCTCTAGGTCCCCTGTGCCGTATCGCCGACGTCGTCATCTCCAGGGTCGCACTCTCTAGGTCCCCTGTGCCGTATCGCCGACGTCGTCATCTCCAGGGTCGCACTCTCTAGGTCCCCTGTGCCGTATCGCCGACGTCGTCATCTCCAGGGTCGCACTCTCTAGGTCCCCTGTGCCGTATCGCCGCCGTCATCCCCTACGACGCTCTGAGTCCCAGGAGCCGCCACCATCCCCGACGAGAATTGCCACCACTTCGATAACCCATACCCATATTTTGCTTTGTATTGTTTGCTTATTATCAATAAACCGCTGAGCTACCACACATTAAATTTTTCTTCTTTTTTTTTTCTTACTTAAAAATTAAATGTACTTCAATGTTTGTAAACTCACCTACCAAGCGATCGAGGAAAACAATGCAGTGCCTTCGCATTTTCTGTGTTGTTGCCACAAATAATACAATATCTACAACAATAATACATTATTTGTTTTATTTAAATTTGCAATAAAAAGCTAAAATTTTTTACCTTCTCGTCATGGCGTTCCTTCAAATAATTTTCGGTAGGTATTTACTTCTTGTTGGTGTTCGACACGTATTCGCACTCACACACTTAAATTTTTCAAATTCAAAATCGCGCAAATTTATTACCGTTATTGCTCATGTGCCGCAGCGCGTCACACCTGTGCGTGCGTCACACATATAATAAGCATTCACGTTCGGTAGAAGTAACTGACAGAAACTTTTCTGTGGTTAAGTTGCAATCTTAAGATCACTAGAAATTTAAGATTGGCATCAACTGTCTAATTTTCTAATTCAAATGTCAAATCTGAATTGTGTGGAAAAAACCGAAGTTTTTCTAATTTCAACACGCTTCGCTTCAAGAAAATCCTTAAATACAGCATGGAAACAATTTCCATAAAAGTAATCACGAGAAAGCCCATTTTAAAGGAAAAGAAACAAGAAATATTTCGTGGTTTTCAAAAAATTGGGTAAAACGGAAACAGTTAAACTGGTGGCAGAAATATTCTCCGTAAAGTTCGCTAGTGTTGTCGAGTGTTTTTCGAATTTTAAAATAATACAGATACAGCGGCGCTTGTGCCGTTAATATTATAATCAGAATCAGAAAGACGACTGCGCAGATTTATATACCTACATGCTTTGTTGGTTCCTTTCTACAATTGGTTTTTAAGTTTTATATAATCGTTATTGTTTTGTAAGAGGTAAAACACTCGGCTTTGAAAATAATTGTACGTAATACACATATAAATTTAGGTTTCCGAAGGCGAAGTTTTTCACATTTTAAACACGTTATAGCTGCCAGAATCAAATTTCTAAGGCGGTACCTATCTCCAATTGCGTGATTGTGGTGAAGATTTACTTTTCATTTTCTTGGATGAGACATGGATATACCAGAGCGGATCCATGGTGAAATTATGGATCCATGATGAGGACATCAAAGCTTGTCCTCCTAAAAAAACTAGTGAAGGGAAAAGATTCAAAATTTTACATGCGGGTTGCTCTTTGGGCTTTTAGAGGGATGCGATTTTCTCCTTGGTTTAAAAATAGATTCACCAGATTACCACAAAACCATCACATTTTCGATATTTGACCTTTACTTACTTACATGTCACATTTTTGATACCTACTTTCTGACATTCCAGTAATACATTATACACTAGAACAATTATGTCCGCAGTTACACAGCTTAAAAAAAAAAGTTACCAAATCTAGTTACATCTACCGAACGTGAATTCCTTATAGGTCAGAACACCGTTAAAAGTAGGGGTATCTGTAATGGCGGATGGCGTCCGGCAGTTGTTTTCTTTCAATTTTCAAATGTGTTACAAGTTGACAGAAATTTTGCGACCGCAGAGCCATCTGCCTTGAGATTTAGTTGTAGCATAAGGATAGGTTTATGTACGCCCAATATGATAACACGAGAGAGATATAGAAACGAAGACAGACTTATGGGTCTATAAGTGCATTGAAGTGGTATAGATAAACCGGCTCAAATTTTCCCACTCAACTTGGCAGGGTGTTACTGATCTACTGTGTATTAGTTCTGTGATCAGTGTTGCCACTTCTACCGAATTTTCGGTAGATCTACCGATTTTGGGCTCTGTCTACCGATTTACCGATTGACACACCAAATCTATCGAAAAGTCTACGATAATTTAAGAAATTTTTATTTTTAATGCATTTATAAATTTTCAATATTTTTTTTTATAATCTCATTTCTTAATATTTTTTCAATATAAATTTAGTTCTGCGGATTTGTTTAGCTCCCTCTATTACGCACTAGCGCCAAATATCTACTCTTTTTAAACGCGTAATAATTAAGAGGGGATTTTTTTAACTATTTGGACAAAATTCGGTATATCCCCGAAACAGTTCAGCACCCGAGTTTATAAATAAGGGGAACATTATAGTTTTATTGTTTTTATTTTTAACAAAATGTTCCTACTACCTTTAGCATGTTACCTATATATTTTTTTAAATGATCTATCTTAATATTTTGTTTTTTGTTTTATATTTATTTCTTTTTAATAACAAAATATTTCTACCTTCTTCATTACCAAAATATATATGACAAAAAAAAAATCGTATTTTTTATGTGTAATACCTTTTCTATCACAAAAAACCGATCTACCGAAAAAATACCGAAATTTACCGAAAATTATTGAAGGAATCTACCGATAGCAAGCAAAACGGCGTGGCAACCCTGTCTGTGATATTGGTTCACATTAGGTTGTATGTGTCTGTGGACTTGTTTTTTTGTATTTGTTATTAATAATGCCATAAAGACATGTGTTAACAATAGGGGCAATTACCATTTTTTTGCTGACTATCAAAGATGCATTGTGAACGGAGAAAATTCTGTGCAGTCAAATAATGTAGTGAAAGTCACTTGGTATACTGAATTAAATGTGCTTGAAGAGTTTATTCGAGCTAGAATGCGAAATAGCCAATGGTAAGTTAATGTATATTGATAAATTCTGTATCAAGTACAATTATGAGGTATTTTGTTTTATTTTGCATAGATATTCCTTAAGAGAGGCAACATGTGAAACCACAAGAGGTGCATTTGTATGTCACCATATGGCTACACCTACCCTACACGGGCGTTATAATGTATTTTGGACCAATAATTTGCGTTCTTGGGACGTACATCTGAAGAAAAGTGAATCTTCTGAGGTCAGAGCTGTTGTCTCTGAAAATTCTTTTAATCCCCAAGTCAGCCTAAAAACAGCTAATGTTGAGGTACAACTTCATGAAAGCTTACGACAAACTGATGGGAACGAAGCACTGCTTTGGCTATTGGGCCCTGAACCAGAAAGATCTGAAGAAAATCTACTTCATAGTGTCGAAGAACTATTAGTGTCCGAGGACTATTTAAATGGCCCATCAAGAAAACAGTTTGTGGGTCAGTTTTTCACCAAAAGTGAATCAGATTTTGCATTAGGAAGTGCAATTTTTTATTGTAGAATACACTTTGTGTTTTGAAATAAATTGTTCTTTAAATTGTATTTTTTTTTTAAATGAGTGTTTCAGACCCAATTCGTAGTAAAATGAAAGTGATTTTTACTTGTACATGAAAGGTTCATTCAAGAATGCTAAGTTTTTCCTTTTCTAGCAAAAATGTGTGAAAACAAAAAAGCTTGGGATTGATGATGATTCTTAAATCAAAATTTGGCAATTGACTGAAAACATTTGCAAATATGAGACCTCCTTTATGTATTATTTTAAATTCACAGCCGTATCGGGAGCATCTGAAAATCAAAGCCATTTATGTGGAGGGGGAAGTTAATGGCAGTATGAAGTGAACCATGGCTAAAAAATATATATATTATTGTACCATGGTATGAACCACTATCGACATACTTTCGAGGCAAATGTAGTGGTAAAAGTTGAATTTAAATATTTATTAAATACCACCGGTTCCGTTCATGTTTGGTATCAAGATCAACAGTAAAAATATCAGTCTTACTGGTACAGGTAGTGGGATATATAAGAAAATTACTTTAATGGTAGAATTTAAGCGTTAAAGTGACGCCTCGATTTCACCCATAAGGATTACACGGGGAACTGAAATATGGGTCTCGTGCTGGTCTCGTGTTATAAACTGAGTTCAAATTTTGCGCGTAGTTCACTTTACTGATCAGTTTTGCGAACACCAATACGCAAAAGGTACTAAATGGAAAAGTTTGAAATTCTTCAAAACTTGGTAATTATAATTCAAAGAACTGATTTTAATCTTATCCTTTTTGTTTTTCCCCTTTTCATCTTTTTCCCATTTTTCCCAGTTTTCCATTTTTACATTAGAAATTCCCACAAAATGGTAACTCATAGGTTGGCAACACTGAATACCAAGGGCAACCAATACATTAAATTAAGACCAAATTGCCATTTTGATAAAGTTGTAAGTCGGATGACAAAGTAGTTTTATAATAATGTTTGGATTATCAAGACATTTTCGAACAATTGTTGGACGTACTAGTTATTTACGAACATTTTCATCCACGCCACGAGTATTAACAGTTTATGCAAATGACAAATTGTCTGTAAAATCGCCCTGTGACACGACTATGCATTTCTGGCTTGTTGGTCAGGTAAAAAAATAGATTTTTAGTAAAATACATTGTAAATTATTTGTTATGTCAACCAGTTTAACAAATAAGTCTCTTATATCGTTAGAAATGATTACATAATTCATAACCTTATTTTATTAGAAACGATTCTACTGCCCTGAAATGATACGTATAAAACTCACAGAAGAAGAAATTAAACAGAGAGTTTTGAAAGTGTGCTCTTCTTATGATAAAGTAACTGCAGACAAGGTATATTTTTGTTTTCTTCTTTCAGAGACTGGTTTTGCCACATGAGCGATGTTACAGTTCCAAGCCACCATTGTCTTTAAAACTAATCACGGACCGAGTTCTGTTGGTTTTAAAATTGTATGACAAAATTCACCCTGAGAAGGTACACTAATATTTGCACTCAGTGGCACAGTCTCGAGCATGTTTTTTTTAAGTTTCAGTTGTTAATACTTTTTTTTTAGCTTACCTTGGATTCACATTTTATAAATGATTTGGGCCTAGATTCATTAGATCACGTTGAAGTTATCATGGCTATGGAGGATGAATTTGGTTTTGAAATACCAGATGGGGATGCAGAAAAGCTTTTAAAACCTGCTGATATAGTCCGATACGTTGCAGATAAGGAAGATGTTTATGAATAAATTTTTCCTTATTAGATGATAAGATATAAGTCATAAAATAGGTTCGTTCAAATGTTGCTGTACTTGTTTTGTTAATAAATTTTTTGTGGTGTTTTATTTTTCTGATTTCATAGTGACATTTGAAATATTTACCAATTTTGGTGACTAGTTGAGGTGTGAAAGTGAAATGTAACTTGTAGATAATTGGTTCATGGCCTAAATGAGAACGTTTGTTTATTGATGTTTAACTGTAAACATATAGGAAATACGTATTTAAGCATTTTCGGAGATTCGCCCCCTACGGGGGTGAAAAGTGGTGTCTAAGTTTGTATAGGAACCATATTTCTACTATAAATTGAAATTTTTACGTGAAACTTGGTATTAATGTTCTTCAACACAAATAATGAAACCCGTCTTTAAGCATTTTCTAAAATTCAACTCCTAAGGGGGTGAAATGTGGAGGCTACGTTTGTACGGAAAAATACTTCTGTTGTATATTAAAGTTTTTACGTGAAATTTGGTATTAATGCTCTTCGACACAAATAATAACACGTTTTTAAACATTTTCCGAGATTCAACCCCTAAGCGGGTGAAATATGGTGGCTGTTTGTATGAGAATATTTCTATTGTAAATTTAAATTTCTACGTGAAACTTGGCATTAATTGTCTCCAACACAAATAATGAAATACGTATTTAAGCATTTTCCGAAATCCAACCCCTAAGGGGGTGAAAAGTACTGGGTAACTGTGCGGGAAAAATATTTCCATTGTAAAATTAAATTTTCACGTGAAACTTGATATTGGTGCTTTTACACACATAATTAAGGGGTGTAACAGCTATTTTTTATTGAACAGTGTGTGCGGTATGCCGCCTGTTTTCGAGATTGACCTTACCATCATCGGGTAATGGCAACACTTTTTTGTAGACGCAACTCTAAAAAGAAACAGCAAAGATAAGGGTCGCAAACAGTTTTGTCTGAATAGTCATTCGAGTAAACACACCTTTCCGAGTTTTGCAAAAGCAATTATTCAGAATTCCAGGTCTTTGAGTGAATTTTCGAATACAGTGCCTTTCCAGAAGTGAGGAGCTGGATATAATTTTGCAAAATAGGTGCAGTCATTTCTTTTGTTGATTTGCACGCGGTGGAATGCCGGATTTGGAAGGAAAGGTATCCCTCGAATATCTTAAAGCCTACACACCATCCAAGGTAAAGAGAGAGATTTTTATTTTCCAAGAAATAAGTATTCAAAATAATTTTCGTTTTTGTCCTTCGATATTTGAAATCATCCTTCTCGCAACTAATTACTGCTTGGAATAACAGTTTTTTTTGGAACGTGCTTCGAACCCCAGGCAGCTGATTTTCCGAGTAGAGTGCTGTGCGGTTGAGTCCAGGTTAACATCCAAAAATTCCAAAAATTCCCCCCTCACGAGAGGCCCATAAGGAGAGCAGTCTGAAGAAGGTCTCGTTTACATAAGGACATTTATTACTTCCCGAGCGTAAGCAAAGGAAGTATTGTAATCGAGTCCGTCGGCCGACTCTCTACTTTTACGTTTTCTCGATCTTTCATGACCCCTAGAAAACGAAGAAATAGGTCTCCCATTTCCGTCTGTCTGTCCGTCTGTCCGTCTGTCCGTCTGTCTGTCCGTCCGTCTGTCCGTCTGTCCGTCCGTCTGTCCGTCTGTCCGTCCGTCTGTCCGTCTGTCCGTCTGTTGTCCCGGATTTTTATTAGACAGATAATCTCCGAAAGTACTCGACCGATTGTTGTGAAATTTTGTACTTAAGTATATTAAGAATATCATGTAGATGGTAAAACGCTAACCAAAATTTGTCTAATCATCCCCACCACTAATGCGATGACGTCACTTCAAAATTGTACATAGTAAATGGGTTTTCAATTGTATAAAATAACATAGTCCTACACATGTAGTTTACAACTCTGAATCGACTTTTCACCCGAAACGTCCAGATTTTTGGAAAAAAAATCAAAATTATAAAACAATATTTTTAAATTTAATTTTTAATCTGCTAACCAGAATGCTTTGAAATGTTGCAGATATTTTAAGGCTATAAAGAGCATCATAAATCTTTAGTTAAAAAATATTTGCTTATCCCCTCCAAAAACTTGATGACGTCAGCTCAAAAGTTTGTGGAATAAATCATATCTAAAATGTACAAAATATGATGAGTCTGTACTTGTGATCTATCACTCCATTCATATTTTTTGGATTTGCATATACAGGGTGACTCAAAAAAATTAATGAATGCGTAAATATATTTTATTGATTTAATCAGGAACTACAAAACCGAATGCTCTGAAATCTTGCAGATGTTTTAAGGCTATAAAGAGCATCATAAATCTTTAGTCAAAAAATATTTGCTTATCCCCTCCAAAAACTTGATGACGTCAGCTCAAAAGTTTGTGGAATAAATCATATCTAAAATGTACAAAATATGATGAGTCTGTACTTGTGATCTATCACTCCATTCATATTTTTTGGATTTGCATATACAGGGTGACTCAAAAAAATTAATGAATGCGTAAATATATTTTATTGATTTAATCAGGAACTACAAAACCGAATGCTCTGAAATCTTGCAGATGTTTTAAGGTCATAAAGAGCATAATAAATGTTTAGTCAAAATATATTTGCTTATCCCCTCCAAAAACTCGATGACGTCAGCTCGAAAATTTGCCGAATAAATCATATCTAAAATGTACAAAATATGATCAGTCTGTACTTGTGATCTATCACTCCATTCATATTTTTTGGATTTGCATATACAGGGTGATTCAAGAAAATAAATGAAAGCGTAAATTTATTTTACTGATTTACTCAGGAACTACAAAACCGAATGCTTCGAAATCTTGAAGATATTTTAAAATTATCATAAGCATGGTAAATTTTTGATCAAAACGTATTTGGTCGTCCCCCCTAAAAAATTTATGATGTCACCACAAAATTTTGCTGAATAAATCCTATCTAAAATGTACAAAATATGGTGAGTCTCTTCTTGTGATTTATCATTCCATTCAAATTTTTTCGATTTGCATATACAGGGTGACTCAAAAAAATTAATGAATGCGTAAATTTATTTTATTGATTTAATCAGGAACTACAAAACCGAATGCTTTGAAATCTTGCAGATGTTGTAAGGTTATAATAAAGAGCATAATAAATTTTTAGTCAAAATATATTTGGTTATCTTCTATTTACAAAAAACTGATGACGTCAGCTCAAAAGTTTGCCGAATAAATCGTATCTAAAATGTACAAAATATGATGAGTCTGTACTTGTGATTTATCATTCCATTCATATTTTTGGATTTGCATATGCAGGGTGACTCAAAAAAATTAATGAAGGCGTGAATTTATTTTATCGATTTAATCAGGAATTACAAAAGCGAATGCTTTGAAATCTTGGGAATATTTTAAAGTTATTATAAGCATGGTAAACTTTTGTTCAAAATGTATTTGTTCATCCCTCCTAAAAAAATTGATGACGTCACCCTTAAATTTTGCTGAATAAATCCTATCTAAAATGCAAAAAATATGATGAGTTTGTACTTGTGATTTATCATTCCATTCATATTTTTTAGATTTTCTTAAGAGGTGGTTCAAAAAAATTAATGAAGTCAATTTATTTTATTGATTAAATTAAAGGCAACACTTATTATTAGTATTACACCCCAACCAACCCAATTTGGTAGACACAAAATTTGTTAAAGGAAAAACTCGGTTGAAACATAAGAGTAGCACGCTTATTTACATCGACTTTAACATTACAGACCTGCATTTGTTTTATGCGGTCACTTGGTTCCGCGAATGCGAAATAGACATGTTTATAATCAACCAATTGTGAATTTCACCGTCAAGAATTAAAATAAAACGCAATGTTTTATATAATAAGCGGAAGTCGAAGCAATAAAACCGATGGTCGTTTTGTTTACAGTTTCTCTGTTTGGCTCTTACGTATGCTGTTACGCTTGTCATCTTAAATTAAGAATGTTTATACATAAACGATTTTCAGTTGCCCCTCATATTACTAGACAGCGGATTTCTGTCGGGCTACGTCACGATTATAGGGGGGGACGTGCTGGATTCCATAAATATAATTAACGATTTATTAATCAAACGGCTAAGTAAATGAGAACGGGAATTAACAGCAGAGTGCAACGAAACAACGTTATTCTAATCTCAAATAAACGAAGTGCAGTCCGCAACGGCAATGAATTCGCATCCCGTGCGAGCCGTACCGAGTTTGGCCTTGCCTAGCCCGACAGAAATCCGCTCTCTAGATATTACACACCGGCGCCGTATACGTGAGTAAATTGTTTCGTTATTTTATTGATTATAAGAAATCAATATTCAAAACGACCCAATTCATTTTCCCGAAAATTTGGGAACACAATAATTTTATTCTTAGTATTACACTACATCTATCCCAACTGATATACGTGTCCTTGCAAAAATGTTGATGACGTCATCACAATTTTTTTTTAAATTCCCACTACAAAAATGTAATGAGAAAAAAAAACATAATAGGCATGCAGTCGTCAAGTTTCCGATAGCGAGGGAAGTACTGTCTAAACTCTTTAGACCAATTTTTTTTTTCATTGAATTGAGAAACGCAAACAGCTGATTGCGAGTGACTGACTGTGAGCAAAGAGGAGAAATATTCAAGAGACGACACTCGAACAAGGAAACACATTTCTAGACGCAGAAAGGAAGTCTACCCCAAGTTAAAAGTCCTGTCGTGTACCGCCGTCACTATTCGTATCATACTGGTTCGAAGTGATTTTTATTGGTGAAGACAAGCAACGTGACCAAACGCACGCGTAATTATCAGGTCAATGTATTTTGACAGTGACAGCAGAAGCAAATAGACCTATGAAATAGACTACCAGCGAAAAGTGCATTACGGTACGGGTGTTTTGTTTTCCTAAATTTTTACATGAATTGTATTTACTGATGTATTGCACACTGCCGTACAGCCGAGGAAAAAATGGAGTGTCAGCGGAAAAAAGCGGGTAAAGTGTGCGCCTACAAAGGGTGTAAAAATAAAAGTTATTCATGTGATTCTACAATAAAATTCTTTCGCTTTCCAAACAA